ATTTTCAGAATTTTTACAACTCTTTTGCTTTAGACCATCTACAAATGTTAAATCTTAAAATAAAATGTTAAGGTTACTACTGCATCTTTCTGAAAATTTGTTTTCTTTATAGTTAGTTTATTTATAGTTATTTTCAAAGCTTCAATGTACTGTCATTATAAAAGTACTTCATTATTGTTTATTTAATTCTAACATATAAGTTCTTGTTAAAAACTAACCAAAATTAAAAATAATTTGTTTATAATTTCCACACAGGAGAGACTTGGTGTTGTTTCCAAACAAAAGGAAATATATATCGGTATCGGCATCGACCAAAAAGAGTTGAAAAATATCAGCATATCGGATATCGGCAAAAATCCAATATCGTGCATCCCTATTAGGGACCATAACTAGTAATTATGACTCTTGTGTAAGTACTGTACATTAATGCATCTTGGACCATAACTAGTAATTATGACTCTTGTGTAAGTACTGTACATTGTAAAATGCATCTTTTCATGCAAAATGCCACTTTTTTCATTAAATTAAATAATATAATATTGATAAATACTATTTATTTCGATTCACTTGATAATTGTCATTTTTCTAAACAGCATATCATGTAATTGAATCTGTTTTTTCATCAGTTGGCAGACCTAGTTTATTTATTTATGATAACTGATTGCAATCCTGGTGAAACCAGTGTGGCCTGCTAATTGATTACCCCTGTTTTATGGAAACACAAATGGTGCAATGTGTTTTGATATGATTCTTTTCAACGTTCGCTCAGCTGAGCCAGCAGCTGCAACAACACAACAGCCAGCCGCTTACTGCTGAGCTGTCACTCCGCCGCTATAGCAACCACCTGTCAATCACAGGTTCATGTCCAGAACGATACACTAACGATGACTAAATCATGTGCGTTGTGCTTCTGAGCCAATTACACTGCAAAATAAAAAGCTATTTGTTGCTTTGTGGTTCGTATCACATGTGAAGCACTTCTGCAGAACCTGAAAGTCAGCTAGACTCTCTGTGAAGTCTCTGGGAGGTTTGTGGTGTTTATTGAGTGTCAGTGATAAGAGAGATGCACTGACAATTGGTTTCACGTTGTTGCTTTCAATAGTTTTATCTTGTTGCATCTTATGTTTTGTAATTGCAAGTTGTTTGTTGCTTTGTGTTTCATGCAAATGAGTAATTGTGTTAACCACTAGCTAACATGGTCTTGATGTAGATTTTAACACGTTAATATGAATGACAGACGGGTTCAGCAGCAAAATTAAATCCCAAACAGATTGGCCTTGTGATGAGGTCTGTCATGTTATGTGTTTTGAGTTATAACGATGATACATTTTTTTCATTAGAGTTTGAGTTAGAATAGTTTGTAAGAGCATGAGTATAAACGCATCGAGTCTGTAAAAGCCGACTAGATGCATTTCCTGCTCGGTGTCGTGACATTTAATGTCTCCGACAACCTCTATAGTCCAAATGTTATTAAAGGATTAGTTCATTTCCAGAATATACATTTCCTGATAATTTACTCACCCCCATGTCATCCAAGATGTTCATGTCTTTCTTTCTTCAGTTGAAAAGAAATTAAGGTTTTTGAGGAAAACATTCCAGGATTTTTCTTCACGTTGGAAAGTTCACGCTTGATGTGGGCTAAGTACCGACCCAGTGTTTACAAAGCGAACGTGCAAAGAAAGACAACTGCCCTTTACAAAAAAAATGTAAAATGATGTCGGGCGATTTTGGAGTTGGAGGAAAAAATGAGATGGAGTTTTTCGTCTTACCCTACCTTTTTGAACCGGAGTACACAGACGAAGAACTAGCTACATGTGACCTTTCCAGAGTGATAACGTAATGCATGAAGTCATGGACGTATCGCACAGCTAGTGCAAGATGACTATTTGTGGTTAAAAGTATATCTACTTAAAAAAAATTTTTTTTGAAAATGGCTGATCGTTTCACTAGACAAGACCCTTTTTCCTCGACTGGGATCGTGTAGAGCCCTTTGAAGCTGCATTGAAACTGCAATGTGGACCTTCAACCTCTTGATCCCCATTAAAGTCCACTATATGGAGAAAAATCCTGGAATGTTTTCCTCAAAAACCTAAATTTCTTTTCGACTTGAAAAGAAATCTTTATCGTTGAAGTGAACTAATCCTTTAATGGCCTTTTTAAGGACATGTACAAGCTTAAAAAATGTCATGAGTGGGGTATTACTTATGTATTTTATGTCATACGATACAGCTAAATGAGAAAATATCTAACCACAGACCTTATTTGATACAGTGCAATGACATTATTTTTAAATATGTCTTAAGTATCCAGGTACTTTTTGGGGCTTCAATATAAAGTTCACATGCTGCGACATGTTGAACTTTGGTTGTTCAGATCAGTGTTTCCCAACCGTGGTGCCGCGGCACCCTGGGGTGCCG